AATATATATATATACACACATAGTCTCTGTATAAATAAATTTTCTCAGTTGTACCTGTTTCCTGTAAAGTCAGAGAGATGCATTTGCATACAGGGGGTAGAATTTCTTGTAAATGAGAAAATACAGTAAAATGTATAATCTTGGCAGCACCCCAGAGATCAAACAGCCATTTGAGTATTGTAGGTGACTCTTCAGGTCATGGTTAGATGCTGGAATGATACCTTCTGGCTGCTGTCTAATGAATCCTGACATTGTCTCGGAAGCCTATGAAATCTTGTAAGAAAATTACTTACAGTGATTTTGGGTTTGAATCACTGCCAATGGCAATAGAGCAGTGTCATTCATCACAGGCTTTAGTGTTCAATTTGATTTTTAGTTTGGCTTTGCACTTTGGCATTTATCAGGACATCTGCACATTTGGAAGCTGACTCTGCTTCCTCAGCGTATCTGTGCTACAGGAGGGTTTTTTTCAAGTTAGATGTTCTTATTTTGGTGGGTTTTTTTTCCCATTATCACTTATTTGGTACATAGTTTACACTGTTGTGTACTTGAGCATATCAGGACATCTAATGCACCTTTATCATGAGATTTATGGTAGTTTGGTAGATCTTAGAGATCTTATAGAAGGGGAATGGAGGTACAAAAAAAGTAATAGAGGGTCTCTTGCTGCAGAATTTACTTGTGTTTCTGTTGCACTTCCTTTAAGAATTCTAGATGCAATGAGGTGACCGAAGCCATTGCACAGACAGGCTCACAGACTCATGTGCTGTTCAGCTTCTTACTAATCAAGAATCAGCTCTCACTCTGAACCAAAATCTTTGTTAGCAACCTGGGTAAATTCCTAAAAGTTGTCAATGTTTGTACTCATCCAATCATGCAGTGGCCTTGGAAAAAAGTAAAATAAAAGTAGCTTCAGCTATTAATGCCCGTGCTAGAATAATGTCAGGTTGGATATTACATGTTCAAAAAAGTTTTGTTGTGCAATCATAGACCATCAAATCCTGAAGACTTTGCTGAGACAAAATGCTCTTTGACTTCAGCAGTTTTACTGCAGCAGAGATTCAGAAGATCTTAAGTCTGGATTGTCCCTCCGAAAACTGTTGTTTCCACATGGTAGTCAGCATTTAATAACATCTTAAAATCATAGTAAACACAAATCAGGGCATGTACTTAATTAATACGAGGCGTCTTCTTGAAAGACGCAGATAGTTACATAAGGTAACTCTTTTGCCCTCAAAGGAGTTATACATATTCAAAGTAACAGGGAACAATAAGAAAATATATTAGAGAAATATTTGCATTGCAAATTTACCTAGTGCCACTGTCTAGAACTGCTTGATTTAATAGCACAGGAAGTTGGTATTAAGATGACTGGCTGTATACTGTACACAGGTGACTTCTGCTACAGAAGAATGCGTGGTAGCATCTTGAGTCAAAAAATGTTTTATGTTTTTTTTTCTTTTTTCATAAAAACACAACAGTGTTCAAGTTATATATTTTATTGCTTCTACTCTACAGGTGGAACTTGCAAAAGAAGAGAAGTGTGAATTTCTGCCTTTCCTTTCCCCTCGGAAAGTTGTACTTAGAGGTGGACAAATTGTTGCTATGGAGTTTGTTCGAACCGAACAAGACAATGATGGAAACTGGAAAGAAGATGAGGATCAGGTTGTCCGTCTGAAAGCTGATGTGGTGATCAGTGCCTTTGGCTCCATTTTAAGTGACACTAAAGGTAACCCTGACTAACGCATTCTGTAAATGCTGATTGTTATTTTAGCTGCAGCCGTTTCCTGTCCTTTGACGGTTTTGCGAAATGAGTCTTCTGAAGGTTACAAAGCTTGTGACTGCAGGAATTCCGCTTCACAGGAATTTCTTTGTCCTTTAGGTATACCTCTTAGAATAAAACTTGAGGGTCTGATAACAAACCAGTTTTCTGTATATCGCTGCATAGAGCAGGAACTCAGATTAGAGGTATAGTTGCTCAGTATATATCTTGCTTTCCTCTAAATGCAAATGGGGTCTCAAAGAATGCTCGTGGGGATTTCTTCTGGTCTCGCTAATTAACTTTAGAGAAACTCATTATACTACAACTTTAAACTGAACTGATCTGATCTCTGAAACCTTTTTTTAACCTATTAAATTAAGCAAGAATTAAGACAGATTCATTATTTTCGTTCGGCTGGTCTGGCTATCACTCATTTCTTGTGCATACGCAAGAGAACTGTGGCTTCTCTCACATACACAGTATTTGTTAAATTCACCTGCGCTTGTCTCAGCTTGTCTCGTTGTTTAGTGGCACTTTACAAGCTTTGGTCTTAAAAATTAGCAATGGCATAGTTCCATAGTAAAGATACAGACACTGGCACCCAGGTGGCATTGCAGAGATTGAATGAATTGTCTGCATGTAGCAGAAAGAGAGCTGAAGAGCATGAGTACAACCAAGAACACGGGAACTGAGCAGAGCTCAGACTGTTCTCCTCTGCCACTAGGTTAGATTTAAAGAGTTCAGGCACATACATCAAATGTGCCTCGAAAGTAAAAAACACCGACTCAGCAGAAGACAGATTGATAAAATGAATAGATCTTCAGCCCGGAGATGTTCATCAAGGTTAGCGGGTTCTGAAAGCCTTAGTGATCAATGTGCCTACCTCTCCAGGGCACGGTCATGCCAGCCAATTACCCCATGACATGCTGTCATGCTCCTTTGGGTAGAAATGCTCTGACAGAGGACATGGCAAGTGCCTCAGAGTACACGTCACCAGAAAATTTGGTAGTCAGATGCTGGTTCTGCCAGTGCAAAGGGAATTTCAAAATTTCTTAGCATAATGTGGTTTTGTGAATCTTTTCAATCAAGGAAAATCGTAAATCTAAAATAATCTAAGCAGAGTCTAGTAGCATTTGTGGACATCCCTCAGGCACATATAAAATTTATGACTTCTCACATCTGCATTTTCTGTGTATTCATTATAGATAACGCTGTTTTAAATGAAGTTAAGGGAATGAGTTTTCTGATAGTAAGATTTTCTAGAGTTATTGGTAAAATTATACAAAAAGTGTACCGACTTCACAGGAAGACAAAACATTGGTTAATGAAGATAAATTATAGGTCCCTTTGAAGAATTTTAGAATATAGCTGATAGCAGATTTGCCTGTAATCTGAACGAGCTACTCGGTGCTTCCTGTTCACCAGTCCAGTTGTGTATAAAGTTAAACCCTGATACAGCCAGGAGAAGAGCCTATACTCTCTCCTGCAGTGAAAAAGAAGGATCAGCCTGCTTCCTTGAGGAACATCTGAAGTTTATTCCAGGAGCTGCAGTCTACGTCTCTTTGAGAGAACAGACTCCCGTTCCACTTGGAGATGTATTCCCGTATAGAGAGTCTGGCATCTGCGTTGGTCATGTTTTAGGGCTCAGTCTAACCCCTAGGAAGCAGGGAGAAGTACTTTTTTTAATCTTTAAGGGATTCATGAGCTACTCCGGTGGTGGAGTTGACTTGAATGAGAATTTTGGAAAGTTTTCTTGTTGTTGTTTTTAAAACCCTCTGTTTAGGTTTTTTGGGAAGGTTTGCTAGAACCTCACGTGGTAAATCAAATATTAGCCTATGTGATCCGTATGTTTTGTTGTGATTCATAGACCCTATGATGGAGGAGTGATTCTGTTTTCTCCCACATTTGAAACTGCTTCAGCTAAACGGTGGGACTCGCTGTGTTGCTTAGCCATAATACTGTGCCAGTCTTGTATCTCGTGGTACACGTTCCCTGTCTAAACTAGTTGTTGTGTCATTTTTAAATAGGAAGATAAAATGGGAGGGGAACAAAGTCATGCAGTGAGCCGATCATGAAAGAAGAGAGTCATTTACCTTGGGGGTGAGCGCACACCTCAGTTTCACGCTGTATTTTTGGTGAAACTGCTATTAGAATAGCAATCAAATTACAAGGGAAAATGCAAGGCAATTGTTCTGGATGTTGTGAAAGTGAAAAGAAACTAAGACTTGAGGGAATAAAGTGTTTATTTTGAGCATACCATTTCAGTTGCTTTTAAATCTTTATTTTTTGACTAAGCTGTCTTAATGAAAGTCAAATTTACTTTTCACCATTGAGCTGGATTACAACCAAATCTCCAGGCTGCCTCAGCATACATAATAAAAAGAAATGAAAAAAAAACCCAACCAACAAAACCCACGGAAAACATCTTGTTTTCTTGGTGCCTTTTTTTTAAAAAAAAAAAGGAAGCACATTTTTGTATTCAAGAGATGGAGATATTCAGGTATTCTCCATCAAAAGATGGAGATGAAAATACTGGAGGGACTCAAAACTGGACAGTGCCATGAGCAAACTGATCTGATGTGGAACTTGATCTAACTTGGAAGAAGGGGATGGACTGGGTGACCTCCAGAGGCCCCTTCTAGTCTGAATTATTCCATGGCTGGATGACTCGGATGCAGGTTGAATAAACGTGTTAGTTCTTGCTCATACAAAGAGCTCTCTCAGTTGACCTAATTCGTAAGGCACCTCAGGGAACTGCAAACGCAGTATCGGTATGGGCTAAGCTAGCAGGATATAGCCTATTTGTTATTAATATTGTTAAATGCTGATGCTCCTGATGTCAGAATAAAGAAAATAGTACGAAAACCAGAGGCGTTAAAATCCGGCTTAGCCCCAGTTCAGTAAAGTGTTCAGGGCATAAGCACGTGGGTGGCTGCTGTTCCGAGCAGAAATAGCTCATAGGTTAGAAAACCTTTCCTAGTCTGTTATCCTCAACAAGATGTTTCTTATTCTTGCACGGTAACTATTAAGTTTGCAGCTGAGATTCCACGTGCTCACAGCAGGTATTTAGTCTTTCTTGTTTTGTTAAAATAAAATGATGATTGCGTTTTTAAGCAGCAGTTCTAGTAGGTACTCATCCTCCCATTGGGAATCATACAGATGCATCACTAACTTAAAAAAATGGACTCCTAAGTCCGTTTTATGCTTGGGAAGTTGCTAATAGACAAAATAAGGAGAGTTGCCTTCTAGACTATTTTAAGAACATTACCACTTTACTGAAACCAACAAATTGTTCAAATCAAACTGCTGCAGATGGAGTAAGAAAAATGTTTTGCTTCTTGTTGTGTAAAAAAAAAAAAAAGAAAAAAAAGTTTGGCAAGCACAAGCTGCCTTTTTGTATTGCATAGCTTACCAAAGCCTTCAAGCCATCATAACTGACCCACATAAACAGAGCTGTGTGAGAATTCTGTACCTTTCCTCATGTTCCTGCTCATTTGCTTGGTTTGTTATTTTGGAGGCCTAGGAGGTATTAGTGAATTACTGAAATATCTTCTGTCACCGTTCCAAATTGCAACTACTCAATATACACAACTGCAGTTCTGTGTGCTCCCTAGCACTGCGTACAGCCTCAACATCCTACTTAACACCGGTCCAGTTGTTTTTAAAGTCTAAACTTTGAATAAGCATTTTCTTACCTACTGTGTTCTGATAAGGAAAAGGGAACAATATTTTTGCACTGCAAAATTTTGCACCGGAGCAAAGGTCCTTGTTCTGATTTATTTTCCTGAATTTCTGAGGAGAACCTGGACTTTCTGAGGAGAACGGTGGAGAAATTGTGCAAGATAGTACACTTGTTCAAAACGCACTACAAAAGGCCGTGCAGGACAGGGGACTAAGGCAGGATAGGGAACTGGCAATGTAAGTTTAGCTCAACACTCTGTTTAGCAGGCAGCAGTAAAGAGGAAATATTCCCATTTTCCAGAACACTGAATCTTAGCACAATAATGTCTATTTTATTTTCCTGGAGAGACAAAAAAGGGGAATGCAAAAGTATCGAAGCAAACCCCAAATACTGCCTTTGCAAAAACCCCCAGAAAGCGTAGGCTATTTGTGAGCAAAAACATGTTTTATTAATTTTTTTGGAAGTAGCTAGCTATTGCATGGTAACTGAAGGGCAAACTTTTATTTCACATTTCTGGGAATCAGTCACAACTTTCAGATATTTTGCTTTTAGTACGACTGTCATCTTGCTTGGAAAATGCAGCAGCAAACCCCAGAAGGCTTCCTAGAGTATAACTACTGCCCTCCCAGTATAGTTCAACATACAGCAAAGGTAAATTTGCCCAAATAGCTTATAATGTTGTTATTTAATCCACTCCTACTTAATATTTATTTCTATAGATTGAGAAGCATTTGCTAGGGAAAGAGGGAAAAAGCTTGCAGAGCTCTCAGCTCGTAAATGAAAAAGGTTTTTGTTTTCCTTTGTACAAATGCAGAACTTCAAAGGGTACGGAAGCCGGCGAACCTACAGGGAGTGTTGAGTGTTGAGTACAGCCGGCTCAGACAACTAGGAAATATGACGTTAATTATGACTCTCCCCTTAATTGGTTTCGTGGTGGACTTGGTAGTGTTAGGCTAACGGTTGGACTGGATGATCTTGAAGGTCTTTTCCAACCTCAATGATTCTATGAATCTGTGATTCTAAACTTCAGCCGGAAAGTGTTGAAGCCTCGACTGTCTGCTGAAAGACGAGGCGGGAGAGGGAGAGGTGGCTGTGATGGCCCAGCTGGGACTGCCCACGGGGTGACCTGGTGTCTCCCTAGTAGCACGGCGTCTGCCTCGCACCCACAGAACAGGCTTTTAGTCACCAGAAGCTTTAAAACATTTTTATAGATTCAAAAGATTCCTAGTGAAATAGGTAGGAGTGTTCCCGCTGAGTCATTTGGAATAGGTTTTTTCTCCACAAATAGGTTTGCTGAATGAGTTTGGGCACAGCAGATCCACAGCCTGAAATGGTTACCGATTTCCAGTATCCAAAAGTGCCTTCATGATGGCTTCTAAAGCCCTGTTAACTTCGAGCAGGAATTCTGCTCTTTCACCCGATAGGCATCAGTACACATTTGCTCGCTGGTGACAGGCAGAAAACAAACTCAGTACCAGCTCGCAGCAGGAGCCTCTCCTAGCATACCTGGCCCCAGTTTTATCCAGTCATAGAATGGTTTAGGTTGGAAAAGACCTTTAAGATCATCCAGTCCAACCATTAACCTAACACTGCCACGTCCACCACTAAACCAATTAAGGGCAGAGGAATAATTTCATGTTTCCTGGCTTGGTGGCTGGATGATTTTTTAATGAAAGTAAAAACTGGGAATTGCTAAGGTTGGAAAGGACCTCTAAGATCATCAGTCCAACCATCAACCCAACACCACCATGCCCACTAAACCATGTCCCAGAGTGCCACATCTGCCCATTTTTTGAACACAAAACCCACTTATTAATCCTGGTTCAGTAGGCTAGTGGGGCAGAGACTGCGGCAAGCGTGATCGTGCCTTTCTTTATTTGCTGGGCATTTAGACTGAGCAGTGTCAGCCGTTAATCAGTGTAGCGGTGCACGTGACGGCTGCACTTTTATATTTGAGGTTAAGAAAGTTACACTATATTTGTATTTTTCAGAAGGAATGCCACTGTTGACTGTAAAGGAAGTCTGTAAGATGGATATCAAAAATAACATTAATGAGCCACTAAAGCTAAAATTACAGGAACTTATGAAATTGGTTAAACATAAAAACCATTAAACTGTTTATTGAAGCTTCACAGATATACTGCAGCTAATGAGCATTTCTGCTATTTAAATAAGCCCAAATTGAACACACATTACATGGATACAAAATTAGTCATGGCAGTCAAACACACACAGACTCACTTTTAAAGCTTTATTTGAGGAATCTTTTCCATTTGATTTGTTTTGTTAATTAAAACATTTTTTTCTGTATTCACTTATATTTTAATACTGTTTTTGCAAGTGCCGTAATTTGCTGCTGCTTTTCCATTTGTATTTGTTTGCTCTGTGAATATAGCAAATTTGGAATATATATTCAGAACTGTCCTTTTTTTTGGTGTTATTTGTGTTAGCATCACTTGATAGCGTTAGAATAATTCAATTGTATGTTGTCTTTCATCCAGAAGGATCTTTTCAAATTATATATAACGTCTCACCAGGATACGGAGGAGAAGGCAGCGCAGCCACAGGATTGTACTTCGAATTTTCAAGAGAAAAGCTGCGTTAGCTTTAAACTTCAAAGGTGCAGGGATTTAAAAGACGTTCTGTTCTTTTCCCCCGTCCCAAATCACGCACCACCAAAAACCTTAGGTATCTGCTTTGCTTATCGTTCAGTGTCAAACAGCAATTCCGAGAACCGAGAGTTGGGGTCACCTCCTTTCAGGCTCAGGTTTGGCTCTTAGGCTCTGTCTCACCCCTCGCAGGGGCAGAGCAGGGACTTGCCTTTGGGAAGACCACAGTTCTCCCCGTCTTTCTGCAGGTGGTCTAGGAGGTGGTCCCTTCAGCCTCCCAGCTGCCCCGGGTACCAGACCCAAATTGTGAGGACGTTAGGAACTCGTATTATATAAGATGCTTTTAAATCGTGCCTTTATTTTTACTTAACCTAAGTCTTGGCGATTATACAAAAGACAGAAGGGAATAGCTGCCGGCTACCATGTCAACCTTGCCACCGGGGAGATGTTCTTTCTCAATTTGGAAAATACTGATCAGGCAGCCAAATCCCCAGGCCCAGGGGAGATGTTTCAGGTGAAGGTACGTTGGGCGTTCTTTGCACTCAGAAAGCTTTTGGTATAATGATGTCCAGACGGCTATTTTAGCACAAAACAATCCAAAGAGAGATTTGAGAAATGTAATAGATCCAGGATAACAGAGGTAATACCCTGTTTTTCCACAAGATGAAATAAGTAGTGAGAACTTCCAGTTTTACATCGTTTCTTCTGAAAAACTGCATCTCCGATAGCATGTTGCCCTTCAACACCTCTACTGCGGTTCACTGCCTCAGAGAAACAAAAGTCATCTATTAAATCCCCGATACCAAATCCCACAGTTTTCCTCTGGGTTTTTTCCAAACATGTCTTTACAAGCCTGTACGTATTTAGCTTGCGAGAACTGTCTAGACCACATGCTGAGATGGTACCACTGCATGCAATAAGTTATCCTATATATGACAAATATAAGATGATCAAAAGCTTTCTTGAAGTACAGGCAGTCTGAGGCATAAAGAGAAAGCTAATGTATTGATTTATAAATATTACTGAATTTTACTGAAATAAAACTGCTATCAGCCATTATCAGCACTTTCCTTTAAAAAAACCCAAAAAAACCCAAAAAAAACCCCCCCGAAGCCCAAACAAACAAACCAAAACCTCATTTTCCAGACTGAAAAATGTCTCAGTCTGAAAGTTGTGTTTGGTGTGATCCTTCAGTAATTTAAATATTTTTGAAGGAAACAGTTTTGAAAGTTTTTGATTCTGTAACTCTGCAAATATTATTTTTGCCAATTTAAGCCACAAGTATATGCGGGGTGGGAGGGATTGTGCAAGCAGTAGGTCTTGAAGTTAGATTAAATAGTTCTGGTATGAAAACCTGCTATGGTATTTCGGCTTAAAACTGTCTTCTGTGATTCTGGCAAAAAAAAATACTTTGGATTTGAGTCCTCTGGATATTTGTGTATGCCAAGGGTGAGAATGAGAGCGTAGGTGGGACAAGGAGGTGACAATGTTTGTGCCTTGCTTTCTATTTTATTATTTTGCCCCGGATTATACACAGCCCCCACTTTGAAATACACTTCTGATATATGATTTGGAGGTGAGGGGAGATACAGAGCCTGGGAAGAAAATTCCGCCAGGATGATGTGGAAGAAAGAAGCGTTGGAAGCTTGCTGTGTACTCAGGCTGGGGCAATACTGTGCCTTTGCCCTCGTACTGGAGAAATATTCTTGTCTTAAACTGGCAGGTTTCTCTTCTACATCTATGACAGCACAACTACATCAGTTTAATTGACCTTGGCAATCTGCATCTGCTAGTGGTATGTCCCTGAGGGACATTGCAGTTTTAAGCTGCGTTTTATTGCAGAACCTTCAGTTCCTGTAGACAAAGCTACATAAAAAAACCCCATTTTGATATATGCCATCAGCGTTGGCTAAAAATACTTATTGGAAAAGCGATGCTCTTCATGAAGCTACTTTGAAGTGTCTTTGCGATTATAATAAAATAATTTAAAAATGCGTAACAAAAATCATGTTAATGTAGAGCAAGATTTTTTTTTCTGAGCATTTCTGTGTATTTAATGCCATTTGTATAATGTCATGCAGCATAAAAAATATTTTTTTTATTTTCACATCTACATTATTTTTAAGGACAATAATAGTTCCTGTGCAGAATGCCTACATATGCTGTTTGCTAACATGAAAAAAATGAAGATATCTTAACGCACGCTCTAAAAAAAAATCAGAAATTGCAGTGAAAAAGATACAAAAGATATTGTCTTCATGTAAGCATTTCATTTTGACTGTGTTTTTATGGTTTTATTCTTCATATCCGTAACAAGTTTCAAAGTGAGCCTTACTTTCAGGATGTTCTGAGTTTAAATATTAAGTCAGGATGTATTTGACTTTATTGAAATACATCTTCTTCAGAATTAAATTTCTTTAAAACCAACGCACTTCGTCAAAGCCAAAGCTTTGATAGCATAACATTTCCTGGTGGGAAAATGTTCCATCTGAAAATTTTCAGTCAAGTTTAATAATGACCTGTCAAAAAGTAGCAGAGTGTCATTTCTGTTGTGAGGGTTAATAAAAGTGGGAAGTAAATTCTGGAGATTTAAATGAATTTCTAGAAGTTGTATCATCAACGTTCTTTTTTCATTTGAAACCTCAAAAATCGTATGCTGCATATTAAGTTGCAGAAGAGGGTGTACGGTAGGTTATTCAGGAGAAAAGCATGTTGCTATGGTAAGCGCAGTACAAAACTAGGGGTGGAGGGAAAGGGAGAAAACGTATTTTTCCTTTGTTAATATTGTTCATTAATAGGCTTTTCAGAAGCGCGGGACTTTTTCCCTGGGAGATGAATAACGCCCGTGAGAATGACTTTGTGAATCCCAGCTTCTGGGAGACGCAGTGTGTTCTCAGGGAGCGACCAGAAGAACATCAGCACCAATTCTTTCTTGAGCCTGCGTCGAGTCAGCCGCTTCTTGTGACGCGTGTGGACATTTATCTCGTATGCCAGTCTGCCTTTGCAGGCACGCAGGAACCAGTTACTTTTCTGATACTACCAAACTACTCCTCCATATAATGCACGTTGTTCTGCTGAGTCCTGTTAGTAATTACGTAGCTCCACCAGCTCAACAAAAATGTTCGTGTATCTAAAAGGACTTTTCATTTCTACCGTAGATTTACATTTAAGTGCAAGCACTAGGACTCGGAACTGCTTCTCTAATTGTTATCGGTGTATATTTGACAGATTTTAGCAACAGGTTTTTGTTTCTTCTATTAACGGACTTGTCATTCACTTTAATTCCAGTCAGAGAGGCCATGGCACCTATCAAGTTTAACAGATGGGGTCTCCCTGAAGTAGATCCGGAAACTATGCAAACAAGTGAACCCTGGGTTTTTGCAGGGGGTGACCTTGGTGGTCTTGCTAACACTACGGTGGAATCGGTAAATGATGGAAAACAAGCTTCCTGGTACATGCACAGATACATACAGGTGATTGCTCAAAAGTATTTTTCTCTTTCCCATTTCTGTCTGCTTTTAGATACTTTTATTGTGTGTGTTAGAATAATTTTGTTGTGTTTTAGATGAAAAATACAAGTTTTGAGGACCTAATACCTAGATTATCTGGTAATTTGAACACTATAGATTCATTCAACTTGGATCACATAGTTCACTTTGGGTAGTTGAAGCCAGCTTTCTTACCTCATTGTAACACTAAAATCCAAGCAACATTTTCTTGACCCCAGCTCTGAATTCCAGTCAAGGGTAGCAAGCCTTCCTGCACAATACACAGTGCAAGTAGGAGTCCTAATCAGGTAACTGGGAAAAAGAAGCGAGCCCATCGGTATTAAAAAGTAAAATCTCTCAATAGTGCTTAAAGTAAAAATTAAATACTGCCAATGTTGTTAGCTGGGGAAAACAATTTTAGTATTTTTAGAGTGCAAGTGTACTAACAGTTTACAGAGCACTCAGATTATCTACACCGGAACCAAAGTTTGCTCCGATGAGGCTGATAAACTGGACACAAGAATGCGCAGAGGAACGGACAAGAGAAAATGGGTTCAAGCTGCGCCAGGGGAGGTTTAGGTTGGATATTAGGAAAAATTTCTTCACGGAAAGGGTGGTCAAGCATTGGAACAGGCTGCCCAGAGAGGTGGGGGAGTCCCCATCCCTGGAAGCGTTCAAAAAACGGGCAGAGGTGGCACTTGGGGACATGGGTTAATCTGGTCTACCCTTGATTGGTTTAGTGTGGACTTGGTAGTGTAGGTTAATGGTTGGACTGGATGATCTTAAAGGGCTTTTCCAGCCTAAACGATTCTATAATGCGACGGAGAATTTACCTGAGAAATGTGAGTTTAATGGGTACAGACCTGAAAAACCTGGTAAGTCCATGTTCCCTTTTGGTGCTCCTTGTGGGTTGCTGACCGAGCACCTCTGCCCTAAGTTTTCCAGTAAAAGAAAGAGCACGAAGTCCAGAGGAACTGCAGAGGAACCTGCAGAGACAGGAGACGCAGCCTGTGTGTGGAGAACCAGCTGACAAAGAGTGTGTTCATAGTGAGAGGAACTTTTTAGAAACATGAAACATGATTCATTCTCCCACAAAAAAGAGCTTTGAACAACTGAAGTTGGGACTGTAACAGCTCGATGTCTTTCTCCCCCATCCATCTGCTCAAAGCCTCTCTGATTGCATGTTTGTGCAATTTCATGCTGTTGGGGTCTGATTTCACTTCCTAAAAATACTTCAGCTGAAAGCTTGTTGTTAGTATCTGTGCATATTTTTTCTCACTTGTTCTAAAGCACTGTTTGTGTCCTGCCTTCTTAGACCCTATGAAAATGCTGAGTGTGAAACATCTTTAATCCCTGACCTGCTTGCTTAATTTCTTAGTGCACGGTGGATTTGGGTAACTGTGATGGGGGGGGTATCTCCTCCTTTTTGGCTCCTTCCTCTTTAACCTCCAGAAATACATGCATCACTTAAAAACCCCCCTTTATCGTGTTGCTTCCTCCTCAAAGCTGGCTTTTTTCCCCCCCTCTGGAATGTATTGAATACTTTGGGGAAAAAAAAAAAAATCTGAATAGTCATGGCTTGAGAATTAGAATTTTAAATCAAGCAGGCTTGTGATATTAGAGCATTTTCGTTACCCTTTGCAGGTTTCAAGGCAGCTTATTCGACCTTACAGTCTCCCCAGGAAGCTAATGGGAAAGCCTTACAGCAATCTTCACAGGAAAGTTTCCAAATGTCAAGTGTCACCTTTCCAGCTGTTAGATGAATGGGTTGCCCAGGGGCATTTATTTGGATGTGCAGCCCTTGTAAAATCTGGTTGCGGTGGTGCAGAGTGCTGTAATTTGGCAATTTATTTCACCACTGTTTGGACCTGGTAGAAATTTTAGTGACTGGAGGAGAGTTTGTTTTTTAAAGAAGTTGTTTAGAGAAGGATTGCGTTACCCTGATGTTGATGGGGGTAGGTATGTGCACACGTGCGTGCCTTTGCGTGCATGTGTGTGCATGCGTTCAATTCACAGCCCGGTATTCTGGAAAATTCCAATATCAAATGAAAAAATCACCCTTACACCCTACCTTATTTTCTCTCTACTGTGAGATTCTCAGACGAGCAACCTTCCTGTGATCCAAGTGTCTGAATCGAGTACGCATTAAATTTTAAATAAATACATTGATACCATCTATCGGTTCTATCTGTTTGCGTTTTAGTTACAGGAATAGGTAGCCATTTCCAAAATCGCCAACCATCTCGGCACCGGGATCTATAAATAATGCAGTCAGCCTTTAGGAAAATAAAACTATTCCGTAGGATTTCTCAACCAACCCAAGACCATGTCAAAGACTGAAACGCAAACCCACCATCCCGACTGCTTGCAGAACGCGCTGTTTGAACGGCACGCTGCTTGTATCCCAACCTACTCCAGGCAAAAGGCTAAGCAAACAGATGGGCCTGGTATGTGCCCTGAAACTCCAATCACTGCAAGCTCTGGCACGTGGTCAAGTGAAGCATGAGATCCAGACTCAAGGACTCTCCAGCAGAAATGCCTTATGTTCAAAACCGGGAGTTATTTACAGAAGCTTCTTGGCTGCTCTTATGCTGGAAACGTTCCATCATTAGTTGCCTAAATATCTCCTGCCTCTTAACATATTCCTCCCACTATATGAAGCATAGGTTCATCTCAGAAGTTATTGCCTGCAGCTGTGTCAGGTTACTGTCTATAAACATGACCAGTCAAAGCCTAACTAAGGATAGTTGTAGTAGAACCTGTTAGAAAATATAGTCAGTCTTCCTAGAACCATTCTTTGCAAGTCATTAGAGATCCAAACAGAATCAGCCCGATTCATGCAACTGTCTACTATTCACAACAGTTTTTCAGGATTCGACCTTTCTTGTTGTTCCCTGAATGACATAAACATTTCTGTAAAATAATCTCGGTGATTTGTCTAGCTTGGGGATTGTAACGGCCCTCAGTTTTGTCCAACAGTGGCTTTATGATCTTGTGCAGAAGCGATATAGGCTGCTGTTCTCTTCCATGCCTCACTTACCATTCATTTCTTTTTGATCAGTGGGATTTAATAATACAATACCTATATTCAGGGTAACTCACAATTATTGCAGGACTGACTTCTAATTTTCTATGCCTGCCTTGAGAGCAAAGACAGCTCTCATGTCGCAATCCTTCCAGTATTTTCTTCCTGAACCACTGCACCAGCCTGGGTGCTTCACTCCTGCTCTATTCGTACACTTACCCGTGGAGCGTTTTCCCATACGCGTCGGTCAAGCTGCCATCTTCTCCTCACTAAAATCCCTCTTAAAAAGTGACTTTTCCTCTCTGGTTCACAATAAGTTTTCTTGTATTTAAACCTATCTTTTCTTTACTGTAATCTCCCCAGTGTGGACAGTTCCTTTTCTGTTTTTCCTAGACTGAAATGTGCATGACACACTTAAAGAATAGAGGGCTGGATCCCAACTGATATAAATTGCATTTCACTAAGACGCTATTCAATATGAATTTTGAGCACATCACTGTGTTATTTTGAAGCAGTAATGTATATTTGCTATTTTTTCTTTATCTGTGCTGTCAAAAAATATATGGGCTTTGTATCTGAAGACTATAGTTGTTAATCCTTTTATGAAGGTTGACCATTCTCACATGTTCCTCGAGCATGCATGAATGTACATTATTTCATAATCAATTCCAGAGATGGGTGGTTCCCAGGAAGCTTGTCTTTGAAGCCGTTAGTTATGTTGTCTGCGCCTTTTCAGGGTAACTGAAGGAAAAACTGAACGTCCCTTTGTTTAGCTAGAACAACATACGAAACGCTGGCATGGCGATGACTAACAACGCACCATTTGCAAAAAGGTGGACTAAATGCAAGTGCAGGAAACCTGGTATTTTAGTTGCTTACCACTGAGTAAGCAGTATGTCTGTTCCAGAAACAGAAAGTCAGGAAAGAGCTTACAAAATCTCTGTCCAACTGGACAGAGCCCTGAGCAACCTGCTCTAGTTGACCCTGCTTTGAGCAAGGGTGTTGGCCTGGCTGGTCCCCCGGCATCCTGTCCGCAACTGTTCTGAGATTGTACGAAATAACATGAACATACTTAATAAAGTTTAAACGTATCTAACAAAGTTAAATAATGGATAATCGGGGAGAGGATAGAAGCAGCATAGAATCATGGAATCGTTTAGGTTGGAAAAGACCTTTAAGATCATCCAGTCCAACCATTAACCTAACACTACCAAGTCCACACTAAACCAGTTAGGGTAGAGTAGTAATTTCTGGCTTGGTGGCTGGATTCTTTTTTAATGAAAGTGAAAACTAGGAATTGTTAAGGTTGGAAAGGACCTCTAAGATCATCAGTCCAACCATCAACCCAACACCACCATGCCCACTAAACCATGTCCCCATGTGCCACATCTCCCTTGCACGTGCAAGGGAGAAAAGATAGGTTTTAAGAAGAGACTTAAAAATGGAGAAAGCAAGGGTGAGATGAAAGTATTTGGGGAAAACTCTTCCAGGCAGTAGGATTTGTAGAGAAGGCTCCCTGTGAAAAATAACAGTAATACAACTACTCACTTTCACAGTCTATCTTTGTTAAAGGCCTGAAAATGGAATTAGACCATATCGCCGTGGTTAAGAATTTTCTCCATCTAAAGAAAATGAATGTCACAAATTGTATCAGGTCTAAAGCCGAGTTCCTGTCTCTCCGCCCTGCACTACAGACTCTGCTGCTTTTGCCTCCAGGCATATTCTGGTTAGAGTAAGGTCGGGCCACCGCGTGCAACGTGCTGGGGATTTTTCACCACCCTGTTCCACTATCCAAAAAATTGCCGTGACTGGAACAATAAGTACCTGCAATATTGTTAGCGCAGCTGGTTGGCATCAAATTAGAGGACTTTCTGTCCTCTATTTTTAAAAATCAAGGGAAGAGTTATTATAAATAAACCCTTGCCTGCAGGCTTTCTTTTCCTATTTGTTTGTGCAATGTCAGGGAAATCCTTCATTATAAAGATGATTTTGCTTTCAGGAAGCTATAAAACATTTTAGTTTGCCAAAAGTTTTGCTGTGTGGAAAACAACACATCAGGGCTTAGTAAATTTATTTCTTTTATAAGCATTGTGCTGAAAGGAAAAAACCAGCAAAAAATAAATAGAGCAAAAAAGGGAAGTGATCGGAAGGAGGGAGATAAATCTGCGAGGATGTATAGCCACTGGCTACCGAACCTTCAGCTGCATCCTGCCCCTGTGTGTTTTTAAAGACTTGGTTTATTCCATTGAAACCTTTTGTTTTCTTCTCCTCCCCGTGCCACCTCCACCGGGGTCACCTCATCCCTAACAAACCATTAGGCGCATCTCGCGGTGGCTTGAGTGAGCCTGGGTGGAACGGCCTGTGCTTTTCCTCTTTGTGAGGGAAGTGTGGCAGGAAGAACCGGCCTCTTTGCCTATGGTTTGGGAAGTTGCTTTTGACCGGTTGACCTGCTGGCATGCAGGTGGCAAGGCCTATTTTTGCACGGGTGTATTCAACCACCTGGTTCAAAAGTCTTCCACTGCTCTGGTGGATTTTAATTTTTTTTGTCTTGTATAGGATTTATTTTCTGTTTTATCACAGAAAGCTCATTTTGATTCTCTAGTTAAGAATCCCTTTCAAGCAACGCTCATTTTAGGTGACAACAGCTTTTAGAGATTAAATTGCCCTGCTTGGGAAAAGGAACAGTACAATGTAACTTAAGCTGCATATTAAGCACTGAATCTATCTATCTCTCTATAGCAATCAGTATTTACAGTTATACAAGCAATGAATAGTTCATGAGCGAGCCACAGACTGAAATATATTCACAGAGAACATTTGAACAATTCTGGATAGCAAATGAGTTAACAAATAACTGCTTTCAAAATGGAAAATTAGGTTTATTACTCACATGCGCACGTGGAGTGGAATTGGCCAAAAACCTTTCCGTAAGTCTGTCTTTGCTCTCATTCTTACAGAATCAAAATCAAAAGAGTTCAGTGTAACAGTTCAGCATATCAGTGTTGGTTTCAAGAGATGTCCCCACTTCCAAATACGTAGGAGACAAGAAGTGCTAACGTTTTAAAAATGCTTTAATTTCAATCGTGTGATCCAGGAAGTTCTGTTTTGGCATTGCAAACAACATTTTGCAGTTGAAGTTTTAGTTAAGAAAGACTGAAAAGAAGTTAAAAGGATGAAATCAAACCCAAAATAATCAAAAGACACAATACTTCTTTTTTCCTGTTGTGGGTTTTTTTTTTAATTTTTCTTTGATTTGTCAGTTAACAAAAGCTTTTGAGATGTAGAGTGCTGGGCTGTTTGCTCCTCTAAGAGCTCAGATCCTTCTGGTGTGTGGAGTAGGAGAGGCAGGAAGCAGCGAGCACCCAGGAGGGAGGAGATGGGGAATGTCTGGCTTTTTATAAAGCATGGCTGCATCGGCTGCTAGCTGGGAGAGGTCGTGATACCGAAGGGAGTTTGGTCCCACGTGTTAGGGCTCTTTAAAAATTAGCTTTTCTCGAAATGTCCACCATTAAGGATGCGTTCAGGTTCGTGTCTTTCAGGCTAGGACAATTCCACTACTTTCAGTGCTTTTAAGCCATCAGAAAATTTGGCTCCCAAATGTATCTTCCCTGTCCAAGAAAGCGAAGAGCTGAGGTCAGAGTCTGAGAAGTGAATCCAGGCAGTCCCAGAGCAAACCAGACATGTGAGCTCTCAGGTTTTGACCCAGCCTAGGAAGCAAAAGGCACTAAACAAAAAAAAAAAAAAAAAAAATCCTTCATCCCATCCATGCTTAGTAATTTTCACAGGTAAAAATGGGGTAAATAAGTTCCTTTAAAAAAAAAAAAAAAGAAAAACCAACCCAAAAGGCAGCAATTTGTAAGTGGCTGAGGTTTTTACTCTGTTACAGAAAATCTTCCGCACACCTCCGGTAGTGGTTCTTTTTA